ATGCGCATGTATGTCCTCCTGCGCTCTGTTGTCCATGCTTAATGTGCCTCTTGTACAATAGTTGGCCGCCTTACAAGCGCTGACTAACTGACATGGCACGGGAAATTGCTGAAAACAGTAAAATGTGGGCTGCAGGATATGTGCGCCTGAAAGTAGGCTTTACAGCAAATTTATCAGCTAACAGTTAGCGCAGTTAGTAAGGTTAAATTCACATTTACATATCTCACATTAGTACATATAAGAATACATATATATCTACATACACGGTTGTAGGTTTATATATTTGTATATTGTGCTCCTGTGTATATATGTACGTACATAAAAATAAGTAAATGTATGGTTATTCAATTTGTGTATTTTTTTTTGTTTTTGTACTTGTATTTTTTCCTACTAACCTCCGTTGTATCGCTTGCCATTTTGCATTTCATGCTGAGTAAAATTCTTGAGTTTTGTTAAAGCAGGTGCTCCAAGCTGTTGGAAATCAAATCCTTTATGCATGCTTCTTCTTCAACACATACTGTGCTTATGTGGCTAAAGAATGCCTAGTATTAGCTTACTTACCCCACTTCTTTTGTCAATTATTGACTGCATTTTTGTCCAGTGTTATATTTGTGTCGTAATAATAAATTAAGTTCCCGCTGAATACCAGCTGGTGTGTTTGTTGGTATGTTTGCATTAAAGTGCTTAAACATATCATTTTCTTGCCATAACAGGTTATTTGAAAATAACTTAAGTAAGTAGTTGATAGGTAGTTTAACTGAAAACGCCCTTAAATTTAGCGCTTATCTGTGCTAATGTCTGTGCCATAAGTGAACGACAGACTCCTATCCTTATGCGCTCCCTTATTCATTGCTTGAGTAATCAATAAATTATTGTAGATTCAGTAAAGCTCACCTATAACATTGTTTTAATCTTTATTTTGAAATTTGAAGCAATTTATAAGGCCTTTGTCGCATAATACCACAAGATTTCGGTCAAAGGTTAACCGTTCTGCCCCCGCCATATTAAATGAGCAAATATTATCACATTGCTTCACCATGACCATGACAAGAACTTTTCGAAAATTGTTGTGTTTTAAAATTAATGCGGTTAAAGTTATTTAACGCAATACTTAGGTCAGCCAGGTTCTTTCTATTTAAAAATTTAATACATATACCTAGCCATAGAGTTAATACGCGACACTTGTTTCCGGGTTCGTTTTGATACGAAAAAGCTATGGGCATAAGCCTGGACAAACTCATATTTAGAAGTTCGGTGTAGTTTTGCATATGACAACCGTTGTCCAGTCAAATGGTCAACGAGATAAAGTTTGTTTCGTGGTGCAGATCGACTTTTAAATCTTTACATAAAAAGTTCCTTTTAAGACTGACTTGAGAGTTTAAATATGTATATCCACTTAATATCGAAGTGACATAAATTTGAGAAAATTTTCCGAAAACGTGAAGTTAACCCGCAAATAGTTCCTGCTAGCACTCTTATCACTTATTAGCGGATGCCCGATTACAATAGCTTCTATAACGAAAATGAGCGCCAAATGACAGTTGGAATTGGGTTTAGTCCAGTAACTACTTTTACAATCTCACAAGAAAATGTTTACCCTTTAAACCCAAATGAATTCCACATTTACCATATTTTGTTGTGTTTTCCTTTTTTCGCATGTTAATTCTAATTCACAGGTCAAAGTAACTTCCGTTTGACATTGAAGTGTCGTTCAACGACTTCAAAACAATTACTTAATCACTTTCAATTTCGCAGTAATCAATTAACCGCCTTGAATTCTTCACTCAATCAATTTTCAAATCACATATGTATTGAATGCATTTTTAAATGACATGTCGACAATGTTCGGAGGGTTATGGCTGAAGGTATACAAAATAGGAGGGTAAAAGTATAAGAATAGAAAAATTTACTGTTGATCATCTTTTTTCAATACTTCAATGCTTGAAATCACAACAAGTCATTTCATTAATATTTTTCAACACATTTGGTACATACTTCAGACATCATCAATATGTAAATTAAAATTTAAATCTTAAGAAACCATTTCTTTACATTTAAGGAAACTTGTTACTTGATCATTCCATAAGAAGATAATATATTGAACGGGTGACAAAGCTTAATGTCCAGCTAAAGCTTCGACGATGTCAGAATGAAAAAACTCCTGTAACCAGGAGTGCTTTGGAGCTATATAACTAGTTTCCACACACTATAGGCTATATAACCACATATTAATATTTAAACTTTGTATACTACTACTATGTATAATCTTATATGGTATACCTACATGTGTGATTGTCGTATCTAAGTAATTTTTCGCAGAATAATTTAAGAAATCACGCTTTCCCTCAGACTTATGATTTTTTTATGAGAATTCAAAGGTTTCACTGCACACTTCGCCTTTCAGTCTGCAGCGCTGAAATTTGTGGGAAATTTGTAAGGTTGCCTGGTGAAATAATGGACACTTGACGACAGCGATGATGACTTCAACTTAAGGATTTGGCAATGGGAAATAATATGTACGTACATATATAAGCAAAATTAAGTATTTATAGGCATATGTATGTATGTAGATATATATTCAGTTCAAGTTCAAGGCACCCGTAATTGTATACTAGGAAGCATTGTAGCGCCATTAACCTAAAATTAGGGGCTTGATTTGTAATTATATAAAATGTATTTTTAGAAATTTTAGCTTGTTTTATAAGCTTCCGAACTGTTATAAAAATTAATGGCAATTTGAAGTGTAACTGCGCATTTGTACTATTACGCATTATAATACATTTTATTTTGTTTTTTGGAAAATTTTACCAACTTTTCATAACCTCTCCAAATATTATTACAGTAGGTGATATTGTTATGACTAAAATAACCATTGATATTCATATTTTGTAAGTATTTTATAAATTTTTGGAAAAGATTTTTTAAATTATACATACATTTAGTATATAAATATTTCATATACTTGCATTTAAGAGTTAATTATAAGTAAATTTTAGAAAATATTTATTGTGGAAAATCATTTAAAATATATTGCGTATGTAAAAATTCCGAACATGCGTTAGAAAGCTACTGTTCTGGTGCGTCTTTCTCAGTATAAGTCATTCATTTGAATCGTAAAAAACTTTTTTCACTTCAAATATTCATATGTTTAGCTTTACGCCTTAAAATTGTTTAGCGGGAAGTTCTTCTTCGTTAATTTAATATGAATAAAACCTCAGCCGAAAGTTAATGTATTTTGATTGAAATTTATGGTGAACAGGAAGCATTACTCGATGAAGATTGTTGCTAAAAACAAGAAAAGCTCGCAAAATGTTTGGGAGTCACTCATGCAGCCATATTAAAACATTTAAAATCAGCCGAATACATTGAAAAGCGAGGAAATTGGATGCAATATTCATTGAAGCCAAGAGGCGTTGAAAGACAATTTTGCATGTCAGAAATGCTGCTTGATCGCTACGAAGAAAAGTAGTTTTTACATTGGATTATGACTGGTGATAAAAAATAGGTCCATTACGACAACGCCTAGCCGAATATCCTTAGTGATAAGGCAATGCTATGTATATGGTGGGGGTTTCACATACCATGGGCTTCACATTAATGGAGAACGCTACCGAGAACCACTCATCAAGTTAAAATGAGCGATTGTCGAAAAACGTCCGGAGCTCACGACTATATACTAGGCAATAATTTTTCATTATGATAACGCTCGGCCTCATGTTGCAAGATCAGTTAAATACTATTTGAAAAACAGCGGCTGGGAAGTTTTGCTTCACACGCCTGATAGCCCAGACATTCCTCCTTCTGACACCATTTGTTGCGGTCGATGCAGAACGCACGCACTGAAATATAGTTCATTTCAGAACAAAGAATAAAAAATTGGCTCGATTCCTTTTTGGCTGAAAAGTCCGCGCAGCTCTTTAGGGATGGAATCGACAAATTGCCAGAAAGACTTACTGACAATACTTTGAATAATACTTTTGTACATGTTTTTCTTAAATAAACGTTCCAATCTGAAAAAAACGTTCACAAATATAGTTATATACCCAACGTGTATTTAATAGACTTCTGTAACGTCAAACTAGTAATGTAATTTTTAATTGTACTTCCCTGCGTTGCCAACCATAATTGTTAAAATATTAATTGATATGAAAGCTTTATGCTAAGAGTAAAGAATGTGTCGCATTAGTAGAGTAAAATATCTCTCAAGCTTTCCTATTTGCTAAAGCAACTCTTTTGCGTTATGCTTGGAGTACCGTGTGACTGAAAGTATACTTTTGCAGTGAAAAATTGCAAACTTAATAAAGCATACACATATAATTAATGTTTTATGATATTCAGTTAATTATAATAAAATAATGTGTATATTGTTTCCTCTCAAAAAACAAAACCAAAAAAAAAATTAATAAGAATAAATAAATAAGCAGAGAACCAACGTTAATATTATATTAATGCTACATTTATTAATTAAAATGATTTTACTGTGGAATGGTAATATAAATTCAATCGTTAAATGTTATCGAACAAAACGGTGCATAGATTACCTAAATGGGATCATTTTGTATATATTTTATTGAATTAATTAAAGGACTTAACTACGTATAAATTTAAAAAGTTTCGCTTTCTAAATGCGAAAAGATATAAACACAATATGTTGATTGGTTTAAGGATAAGATTTCCGAAAACGAAATTATCCTTCTCTCCTATTGTTATTGACAAATTGTGAATATTTTTAAAGTAACTAAACACTTTGCTCTCTTTATGTACAAAAATATATAATTACTATTTTCTGTAACAAAATTAAAACATTACTTATACTTACAATATACTATACATAGACTAAAATTATATATAATATATTTTCTAAATAAATAAAACAGTCCACTGTTGCAATGTTCAGGAAAACTAGTTATGCCAAACACAAAGAGCATAATGGACTGCCCACACAACTTTCAAGAGAACATGTGGATGCCTTTGAGTGAGCGAGTATGTGAATTGGTGGTGTTTTTGTTTTCATGTGTATTACTTCGGTTGCAGACGCAGTCGGTGTTTGAACCAATTTAGACGTAGCGAGATGAAAATTGAAAACAATCAATGAAAGTGCAAAAAAATAACAAAAGTATTAAGTGCTTTTGGAAAATGAATTAAAAATTGAAAAGTTTCTGTTGAAGAAATACAAATTTATATGAATAGAAAGGCTTACATTCATTCAAATAATCGACTTTTTATTTGACTTGCTCTAAGCTCACGCGATATTTAGAAATATTTCTTTTATATCTGTTGTTATTGAGTTTACCTTGACAACGCGACGCGTAGTGATAAGCAGCGAATTTGTTTACCCAAGGTAAATATTTACTTACATATATAAATGATTGGGAACATGTGTAATTCGGAAGTTTATTATTTCTTGGGTTGTTTGATGACTTGGTGCTTACACTGCAGATAGCACGAATATGCTCAATCTGCAATATAATTATATCAGAAGTTTGTAAATAGAATTGCGTACAACGGAGACTTTCACATTGACACACATTGTATATACACACACCTATGTATATAATTTTGCTTCATACGTAGATATACGGTACGAGTGACATACAAGCACAGAAAATGCCTCATAATTTTGGGCACTCATTGAAAGCCCTTTGAGCGAGACCCCCAAATGCAAACATACGCACACACAAGCGGATATGTTTGTGTGGAAAGCACTTCAAATAGCCACCTGGCAGTGCCAATTCAAGCGGTTAACTAAGAGCTTGGCGTTCTCTGTCTTCTCTTGCTTAGTCGCGCATGTTCTATGGAAGAGCAAAATTGCTGATTGAGCGTAGTAAATGAAAAACATATAATTGCAATAAAAAGTAAATAAATGAAAAGTAGTGCGAGCTTACTTAACATAAAAATAATAAATATTCGATTAGAAAATATTTTTTTTTTGGAACATTTTTTATAAAAACAAGAAAAAACATTGACCTCGGTTGTACCGAAGCTATAATAGCCTTCGCCGTTAAAAGAGTTTGCAAAGTTTGATTGGTCAGTTTTTATGGCAGCTACATATATGATATAGTTGTCCGATCTGAACAATATATGCAGAGATTCTAGCATTGCTTTGGGTACTATTTTATGCCAAATTTCTTGAAGATATCTTCTCATAATATAGTCATAAAAAGTTTTCCAATAAGAACTTGACAGCTTCTTAAGGAGAAAAGAACGTGTGCAAAGTTTCACTTCGATATCTCAAAACCTAACTAGTTCGTGTTTATACAGACAGATACACAGACGAATAGAAAGTAATTTTAAGAATTTTAGAGGTTGACAAACGGCTTGAGAGAACTTAGTTTTCGAATTTAACGGAATGTGTAAACAACTTGTTTATGAATTGAACAGAATTAAAACTCACGAAGAACACAATATTATTCTAGATATAAACATAAAGCTTTGTCTAGGTCCCTATATTAAACAATTGTAAATATATATGTATATACAATATATTTTCACTTGGTACTCTGAAGGAGGAGGTCCTTTCCGTTACAATTAAGAGCTTATACTTGGAGAGACTTTCTTAGAGGTGTATAAGAACCTATTTTTCGGAGTGCCAAGCGAAAAAAATATTCCCTTTTTCCACCTACCCTAAACTAGTTGTTAGAAAAAATAACATTAAATAATATTGCCTAAACTAATATTTTCTTCAAAATATTGTTCAATTTCAGAAAATACCGCAAGTCAAACATGATAGATAATAATGTCTTTAAAAGAGGCACAACAACCGATAGCTCAGAAGACACGGAGGACAGCAATAATGGTAGAAAATGTTAAATTTCAATACAAAACTTTTCATAGCTAAATACTTCTGTTATATTTTGTAGAAACAGCACAGTGTAATGAAATACCCCTACCCCGACTTCATAATGAAATTCTGATAAACATCTTTTCCTATTTGCCATATACCGACCTGACGCAGGCGCGCTTAGTTTGTCGACTTTGGATGGAAGCTGTCGCCTACACGAGATTTTCAAATAAATTCTGTTTAAGAATCAAGGACGATAATGTGCTGGATATTAGGCGGCAATTAAAAGACGAAAAAGAAACTTTCGCAAGTGGCATGATATATAATCATATGATATATATGGGTACTGATGACGAACAGCGTGAGGAATTGATATTTATATTGCAGAAAATTGGTAGACACGTGCGTAGCTTAAAACTGAAAAATCTGTGTGGACTTGATGACCTGTATGAGTGCTTTCCCAAACTGGAACGATTAACAATAGAGGATTTATTTGTATTTTCCACACATTTTCCATTCGAATTGAACGCGTTCGGCAGCTTAAAAAGCATACACTTTGTGGACGATTCGGTGAGACAAAACTCATCGGAAGCTCTACTCGCCACTTGTTTGCGAGCAAAAACTACAGTTAAGATCGAGGAGTTGAGCATACGCGTCTATGCTGAACACGCGGAACTCTTTCTGTCTGTCTTACAGAATCATGCGGACACTTTGAAGAGTCTACATGTGGTTTATTTCGAATCAGTAAACGAACCAAATTTGCTAGTACAAAAATGGATGACAACTTTCTGTCGACTTAAGAAGTTAGAGAAAATTAAAATTTACGCCTCTAATACGCAGATTTTTGAGGGTACACTGAAGTGTTTGGAAGGATTGCCTTTGCGTTATCTGGAAGTGGATTGCTTGAGGCCGGTAAATCCAAATATTTTCAAATTGCTGGAATTGTGTTCCAAGAGACTCGAGCACCTCGCATTTTTCAACTTCTATTTGCCTAAAACCATAGCTGGCATGCATATAATAAGCAATTGTTGCCAGTACTTGAAAAAGCTCATACTGAGTTACACGCGCCTAGTCGAGGAGGATGAGCTCTGCAATATAGCAAGTAATCTAGTAAATTTGGAGGTTTTAGTCCTGCAATACTGTAAAAATGCTGTGACGAATCGTGCGTTAGCGGCCATTTTCAAACATCTAACACGTTTGCGTGAATTAGATTTGAGTGGCAACAATGATTTCGATGTTAATGCTTTAAGAGGCAGCGCCGTTAATCCGTTTCCGATTCAACGTCTGCAAAGATTGGAGAAACTGAATTTAAAATCATGCCAACAACTATCGAATGACGAGTTTTTAGCAACGCTGAAGTTCCCATTTCTGCGTAGTTTAAGTTTTGGCCGTGGCATATATACAGACAGTGGTATTCAGACTTTGGTGACACAGTGTCCACTTTTGGAGGAACTAATCATTACCTATTGCCCGACTTTGGGTCGTAGTGCTCTGTTTTGTATAGCGAAAGCATTGCCACGCCTACGCGTGCTGCATCTCCTGCATTGCGCCCAAGTGGACAAGTCTGTGCGCCTGATCCTCTATGGTGAGTGCCCCCTTTTGACGGATTTAGAAATCTCCGAAAAGCGTTCAAAAATGCAGACATATTTTCATCAGTAGTGTGGATTGTTTAAAAGAAGACGATACCAGTGATGCTTATTTTAAGTTTTGTTTATATAAGTCCTTATTTTTAGCTTAGATAAGTTTTTCTATTTTAGTTTCCTGAGGGCTGCAATATTAATGTGTAAAATATCGTAAATGAAAAAGAAGTAATTCAGTACTTATCAGTAAACATATGTATGTTAGATTTTGAATACTAATTTTCGTATAAAAATCTATGTAATCACAATGTGTGTGTATACACATGTATATATGTATGTGCATGTGTGTATATTTATAAAATATATGTGTTCAGATTCAATAAAAGTCAAATGTTTACGTGATTAAAGCCTTGGCAAAAAATTTTACATGTAAATATTAGTAATGCATTTATTCTCAACACTGTACAGATAGAATAAAGTTTTAATAAATGTAAAACGAAACCAATAAATTTTAAAATGAATTAATTAATTAATAAAATAAACTAACTACTAAACTAAACTAATTAAGAAATGTGTTTCTCAATTCCAAAAAAAAAAACACAAGGATTAAATTTGAGTGTAACCAAACATATATGGGGAGGGGGCAGGGCAATTCGCTTTCATCCATTTTTATACTGTCAGTAGAAGTTCTTTAAGGATTTGCCCCAAGCGAATTTGTTTACTGTAGCTGGTTTTAGGAGATATCTACATTAAACTATTTAAAGGGCGCGGCTAAGCGAATTTTTCAAGACGGAAATCCTTTAAAGTTTTGAAATCTGATGTTAACCATTATATGCAATATTGACTCGACCTGAACAATTTCTCCAGAGATTGCACCGTTGCCTTGGACAATAATCCGTGCCCAATTTCTTGAGGATATCTCGTCAAATGGAAAAGCTTTCCGTACAAGTGGTCCGATATCGGCGGTTGCGACAAATGAGCATCTTAGGGAAATTCTTATGTGCAAAATTTCAGATCGATATCTCAAAAACTGAGGGACTTGTACGCGTAAATATAGACAGACGGACAGACAGCCGGACATGGCTAAATCGATAATTCATATACATTTTTTATAGGCACCGACGTTTTCATCTGGGTGTTACAAACTTCATGTGCAAACTTTAAACTTTAAAATTTAAAACTTTATCAGATTTTTATATAATTGTTTAAGTGTGCAAACCTTACAATAATCACAGGCCAAGAGCCTAAAGATTGTGGTTATACTTTATATTTTAAAAAAGTTGTGCGGTGGAAAAATGTAATAAGCAGGAAAGCAAATATTTTCACCTACTGATCATCGCAGATCGCTTAGTAATAATAATATAGTAAACAATACACCTAAATGTATGCAAGAATTTTGCCTACGCTAAAGAAATTTTAAAATAATACTCAATCATAGTTGAAGTATGCATGTTTATTATTATAAACCACCTTTCAAATAAAACCTAGACGCACTACCGTACCACCCATAAGTACATTAGGTAATCACTCCTAAATCAAAAAACTATTTGAGGAGCTCCTTTCGGGAAATATACAATAATTTCTACAAGTTATATAGGTATACAAGTTATACACGCAAATATATATGCGTGTATATTTTGACTACATTGCATTTCATTATTAAAAGCTCAGTCATATGCAAATTAGTGTCCCTAAAAGCTCACGCCAAGGGGCGCTTGATGCGAAACCTAACGTTAATTCAAATGTAATCGAAATGTAAGCTGAAATGAAAATGAAAACGAAAACAAATCATTCGTATACATATGTATGTATGTATATGAATACAATTAAATCAACGCCGGCAGCGGCAATTGGTTCAGCAGGTTAGCAGCATTATAAATATATACATAGATTGCATTGTTCGCATATATCTTTCCACACATACATTCAATATATGCAATTATATACCATGCACGAGTATGAAATGCTATATTACGAGCGCTGGCGCTCGCCAAAGTCACCGCAGTAATCGGCGTCGTCCTCGTCGCTGTTGTTATTGTTGCTGTTGGCGTGTACTTTGCAATAAATACGCGCGCGATAAACGTCGCAAACTCTTTGCATTCATGACAACTGGAAGCGCGACAACAACGGTAACACATGTGCAGCGACGGCAGCGCATCTAAACTGAATTTAACTGGAGGCAGGTCCAACAAATCGAAAAGTATCAATGCCGCTGGCCAGACATTCAAACGCTGCTGAAACGCGAACTTGAACGGGCGCGCTTCTACAAGTTTTTCCGCCAAACGAATCCAAACATATACCGTTACGTATGCCATGCGTTTGCGGGTACAAAGTTTTTAGTTTTGCATAATGTGTTGAGAGATCTGTGTTTATTCGTGAGAAAATATACGGTGCGTTGCCACAGGCTTGCGTGCCGAGTGTGAGGCGGCGTGATTGCCGTTGAGACGCGCGCCTGCTTGCCCGCCTGCCAGCATTTGAACTCAGGTGCCGATACTCGCAATTACTTTGAATGCGCCCGGTCGCGTTCGTCGTCGTAGTCAAGCGCATTTATTCATTGAATATTATTGTGATTTGCATGTTGTCGTAAGAGAATAATAATAAAAGCGAATAAAATTGCGAAGAAAATGCAGTGCGCACACACTTGTGGCTAAACTAAAAATAAAACAATTAATAAACAAATAAACAGTGGAAATTTTAATAGTGCTTAAGAAAAAAGTGTAGAATAAACATTTGAAATAAACTCATAAGTAAGAAAAATACGGATTTCCGCCAAGTGCGTGCTTCAAAGACTAAAGAAAACCATGGCGCCTGCAAACGCTTCACACGAAGTAAGCAGCTGGACATCCATGCTACCGCCTTATGCGAATACGCGTGCCCTTAACGTTGAGAGCCAGCTCAGTACGCTCCTCAATAGTTCTATTAATTTGCTTAATAATACTTTTTCCAACGCCATCGCCACTTCTTTTAATTATAGTTATGAGCAAGCGGAAAATGCTTCACTTCAACACTTTTTTGATCTCGGCCCAACGCACGACTCACTAGAAATCGTCATACCCGTGACGATCATTTACAGTTTGATATTCGTCAGCGGTGTTATTGGTAATATCAGCACCTGTATTGTGATTAAGAAGAACCGCTCCATGCATACCGCCACCAATTACTACCTCTTCAGCTTGGCCATATCGGATTTCCTGCTGTTGCTCTCCGGCGTGCCACAGGAGATGTACTTCATCTGGTCCAAATATCCGTATGTATTTGGTGAATACTTTTGCATTGGGCGCGGCGTGTTGGCGGAGACTTCTGCGAATGCGACGGTACTAACCATCACCGCTTTCACCGTGGAACGTTACATGGCCATATGTCACCCGTTTCTTGGACAGGCTATGTCGAAATTGAATCGCGCAATACGGATTATTGTGCTCATTTGGTTGGTTTCGATTTTGACCGCCATACCGCAGGCGGCACAATTCGGCGTCATCGCGTTGAATGGCATCGAGAAGTGCACCGTTGTGCGGAACATCATTCAACACTCATTTCAGTTGTCCACCTTTATTTTCTTCATTGCTCCAATGTCTATAATATTGGTATTGTATCTACTGATCGGTTTGCGTTTGCATCGCTCAAATTTGATGGGCGCCACTGGTGAGGCTTGCGGCGGTGGGAGCGGCCGACGTGGTTTTGGCTGTATTGGCACTAGCGCTGCAAATGGTAGATCGGGTGGTGGCACAGAGGGCGGCATTGTTAGTAATGACAGTGGGAACGGGCGTGGTCGTCTGGCGAACGGTGGCGGTGCCGGTGGCGGTAGCGTTGTGCGTGCGAGCGGCACACGCAAAGGGAGCGATCGCATGAGCATGAAGGGTACACAGAGCGATACGATGCTATATCGTTATATGGGTGGTAGCCAGTTGAGCGCCGTGCGCGGCCGCATGAATCACTATGGAACGCGACGTGTGATAAAGATGCTGGGTAAGTGCGGTTCAGCGGTGATAGGTGTGACAGAAGGGGGAAATCAAAGTACTAAATAAATTGTAATGAAGTGTGTTACTTGTCCAAACGGTGAGTAGTTGATTGACAGCTTCTCGCCTCCTCAAGCCTCATAATTTTAATGCCGATTAGAGGCGACAGATCGTAAGTCATTGCTATTGATGATCTCTCTGAAATATAAGGGAAATTAGAATCCGATCGTACGGTGTATTTGACCTATATAACCACTGTATGTTAGGAGGCTGTATGAAGCATGTAGTACATACATCTTGAGATCGTTACGGGGTTTCTTATGCTACATCATTTGTTAATCGAGTGAGTTTTGCCGCGAAAAATAAAAACATTAAAAGTCATGACAAAAATAGAAATCGAGGCGACGCTTGTCTTACTAGGAGTGTGAAACTGCTGCCATTATTAGTTAATTTCTTGTATAAATATTTACAAAATCTTCATCTTAGAGGATGCCATTCGATACATAAGAAAGAATACTACTTTCTAAGGTTTTATAAATATTATAAGAATGATTTTTTTTAATTTAAAATATTTCTATAAACTAAATTTTGTTTTCCTATAGTCTCTACATACCCCATTGCTATTCATTTAGTATGCATAATTACACATTTACACTCCTCCGTATTCATGTATATGTGTATGTGTACGTATGTGCCTACAAATTGTCTGTTCCATAATATTTGCATACATATTTGTAATCACACTCATTAGCCAGGTTCGTAGTTCATCCACAAATGCAATTATTTATATCATAAGTGTGTGGAAAAAATACCGATCTGGAAATTATGACCTTCTGGTGAATATCGTACCATGAGTAGTACGCAAAACACTTCATCTTAAATATTAGCTATTAGTGCAAAGATCGGATCCCCCTTTTTCATTAGTCTTTATAACTATAACAGTATTTATTTTAAATAAATGTTGTCATAAATTCTTATATGCGGCCCAAAATATACTTATCTCGCCACAAAAGCATTTTTCGGAAAGGTTTTCAATAATACCATCAAAAAATTGGGAGAAGCGTATAGTTATAATATTTATACCGTAGACGTGTATAAACTTTTTGTACATAAATAAATCGTGGAGGTCCCGACCAACTTCTTTTCATATTAGGCAATTGAAAATTGCTGTCTCAAATTTTCAATGATCTTGAATCGAATTTATATAGGTATATGGTTCATTCACACAAATTTAAAAATAGTAATAGCTAAATATTTTGGGATGGCTTTTAATGAATATCATAATATCTGAGTTGCAAAACAAGTCCGTTTGAGATTTGATTCATAGCAGTTTTTCGAATAGTTTTTGACAAGAATTTGTTTAGATTTCACCATGTAACTAGTCATAGTACTTGCTTTGGTTGTGACGAAAATAATAAGATAGTATCCGTCAAAATGGCTTCCCACATATCTTTCCAATAGAAAATGTACTTATATGCATCTATAAATATTAACTAAAATATACAATTTAACCATTTAATACAATAATTAATTCAACAGACTAGTTCACATACAACACTAATTGCACCCATTCCGAACCAGCAATATGCGCCAATAACAAAAAAAAATTGTCACCTTCATTTACAATATTGTTGGACAATTTCACTTTCTAACATATGCTTTTATTGTAGCGAATGAGTTACGAGTAATATTTTATTATTCGGCTTATCTCATATTTTGGTTTATGAGCCACTATTTTCGTTTGCATCATATGTTATTCGCCAAATATTGTCGTATGTCGCACATTCTCGTTTCCCTCGCACATTCTCGTTTCCCTCGCACGTTTGCATACGGGAAACTGTCGCACCAATACCAAAACACACATTGCTACAACTATTTGCCAGGATCTATTAATACCGCACTACAATCAAATATTCGGCTATAATGACGACTGCATACTGTGCCTCAATTAGAATTCAATTTATTCCGAAAAATTCGATATTTGATAAGTGGCGTTACAATGTTGTGCTCCAATACAAGTATACACAGAGAAGCTTTTTTTTATGTATATATATATATATATATATATATATTGTGTGTGTATGTAAGTGTTGATTACTAGAATGTAATTACAATGTATTAATATGCGCAATTACACATCAGTATTTAAGTATGTTCGATGTCTAATTTACATATAATGCACTGTGGACATTGAGAGGATTTCGTTTAGTTTTACTTACATAAATACATATAATTAATTTCTTTGTGATTATTTTTTTAGATACAACATTTGTTATGAGCACGTGAAGATACTTATAACCAACTTCAATGCCTTCCACATTTTTAAACTCTCGCAACATTTGGCTACAGAGAGAATAATAGTTTTGCTTATCTAACGGTTGTTTGCATCATCTAAAACTAATCGAGATAGATACGAAGTTATTTATGGTATGTATATATACATAAATGATCAGGACGAGGAAACGAGTTGAAACTCGAGTGAATGTCTGTCTGTCTATCCGTGCAAGCGATATCTTGAGGAAGAATTAAGATATCTATATAAAAACTCGTATACGTGTTTCTTGGCATCCAATGGGGTTGGTATTACAGATGGGCGGAATTTTTCCATTGCCACGCCCACAAAACGCCATTAAACGAAAACTTATAAAGTGCCATAATGAAGCACCAAATTAAGATAAGAAACTGTAATTTGGTACAAGAGGTTTAATGTACATATCCTCCAAACCTTTTAAGGTGAAATAAGATGACAACCATGCCTACTTCCCATATAGGAAATCTTTAAACTCCATCTAATTCTTTTACTTAACAGTATACAAGTCAAACATCAATGAAGTTATCAAAATAAAACTTTGCTCAAATAGTGACCTTAAGGTATTACAACGTCCAAAAATTGTCGAAATTTGTATATGACTGATTTTTTATCGAACATCTTGGTCAATCTGTGAGATCAAGTATTGAAATTCAGGGATAATTTTTTTTTGTGATGACCGCGTGCCCTTGTGCCAAAGTTGTGTTAAATCTGATCAATACGGGAAGCTTCCATATATAAATATAAATAGAAAATATAAATATATATATATATAAATAGAAAATATAAATAATATATTTCTAATAACAGTTACTCTCTTGCTTTAAATAGATGAAATCAGGGCAATACTTTCGCTAGTCCCCATGTACCAAATATTCAGATTTTCAAACATCTTATCGACTTTATACCTTACATACAAGTATAGGGCAATCTATAAGGTTTCTAAATTTGCAACTTGTAAGAGTATAAAATGATGCGTTACACACTTGTTTTATTTTTCATCGAATCCATTGAAGTTTCTTGACGAATCGGCCAACAGAAATTAGAAAGCATTGCTGCTGACCATTTCTCCTCTTATCATTTCTCAATTTCCATAATATCCGGATGAAACTTCCTTTAGGAAAGAAACTCCATGCGAGTCCAAAATAGGAATTTTGAATGACATATTATATCGTAAAGCTTTATAAGCAGAAACAAGCTCTAGAATGATTTTTTCGTAGTTTTCAGCTTTTGTATTCTTGAGAAAACTATGATATACTTTTATGAAAGTGGTGAAAATTGGGGTAGTATTTTTGAAGTAGAAATTGTTTTTCGAGAATCCGAATGTGATTTTATTTACTACTTACTATAATTTTTCGATAAGACTAATTCTGAACTTCTAAAGCAAATATTTCAATCGTGGAGACTAACTTCAAAAAACTGAAAAAGTACTTTTTTATTTACTACTCCATTCCTCGAAAAATATTGGTTTCATTCAATATGTAGCAGTGTTATTGCAATATTTTATTATTTTATTTCTAATTGTGGTGTGCCTCTTAACGGTAAGAAACCTTTAAATTTCACGCTATCTTCGAATAACGGATAGATTTTATGAAAAGCTTTTTCCTGTCAGAAATAAACGCAACTCATATGAGAAAATTTGTTTATAATTTCTTTTTTATCTCTTTTATTTTTCAGGGTTTGAACCCAAAGTCGACCGAATATTAGTTACGCATACCTTATTATACATGATAGCCATTTCGACCCATAGGCATTTAAGTCTAGACATTTATCTATGTTAGTATAATTTGCTATAGATGCCGATATTGACCTTGATAGGTAGGTAGCATAAATTTAAGGTTAATTGGTGAGTTAGAGATGTTTCTGTATTAATCATAGTAGAAACATTTTCATAGATGCTGTTGTGTTAGTTGCAGGAAATCTTCTCCAAAAAACTTATTGAATACTGCCGATTTGACAGTTCTTTTTGGACATAAATCCAGGTTCGTTTCGGTTACGTATACCCGACTATCTTGGAAGCAGTTCTCTAGATTGTCATGATCGAAATTTAACGCAGAGCAAAGAACAAAAAAAAAAATTAAACAAATTGTTTAATTGGATGACAACTTAACTGACAGTCAATCTATGTCGTCGAAAATTTTTTTTAACAATTCAAGCAAAGAAAACGAAACCGAAGCATTCCTATTATTTTTATAATTTCATTGATATACAAGGTGCAATTCAAAAGTTTCAGGACTTTTATTAAAAAACGAATATTATTTGTTTTTTTTTTTGTAAAATTTATTGGTCGCCTTCAAAATAGTCTCCTTCCGCCTGAATACAACGTTTTGCACGTTCAAGAAGGTTATCGAATGACTTTTTTCTGTCATTTGTCGGTATAGCGTTGAGGATGGCATCAACGTCAGCATAGCGGTTTCTTTTCATGGCCAAATGTAGTTTTCCGAACAAATAAAAATCGCAGGCTGTCATATCAGGCGAACAAAAAGTTTGGGTCCTGTTTGACCTCTTTAATGATGTCGCTTGAATGTTGAATTCTGAGGTCTTTTTCGTGTTGTTTCAAAGTGTGCGGAACAAATTGAGCACAAACCTTTCTGAGGCCCAAATTTTCTGTCAAAATACGATAAATCGACGCTGCGGATATTGATAATTCCGATTCCATATATTTAAGCGATGATTTCACGCACAATTTCCGTGTTTTTTTCGTTCACAACATCTTTTGGCCGGCCCGAACGTTTAAACCACTCGTGAATACGGCTACGGGATAGACAATCATCGCCATAAACTTGATCATTTGATGAGTTTTGGTAAAAGTTTTACCAAGTTTAAAACAAAACTTAATGTTGGCTCTTTGTTCGATGCTCATTTTCCGACCGACACTACAAATGTAATGTCACATGTAGCGCGATATCTCAGCTGTTATATAAGTCAGCTGTTACATAAATTTTATACGACAACACTGAAGAATACACAATTGAGGGATAACAATTTCAGACAGATGGCTCCACTAAAAGAAGAGTTGTTTTGAATTTAAACTGGGATACTGTTTGGCTTATGAAGAAGGTTTGAAAAGTTGTTCCGGCTTTTTAAGGCTAAAATAACTATTGAATGTAAGGAAAATTATTAGAAAAACGCGAATATAAGTAATGTAATTAAACCTGTTACAATCATTTAAATGCAAGTAAGTGATCAAAGCTTTAAACAGCGATAACTGCTTTCGCTTTTTGTGTACTCATTTAAAATATACTTATAGATTTGAGTTGGTCTTTTGGAATTTGAAGTGGGTATCATTACTAACGTAAATTAATGTAGTTGTACAATAATTACTTAGCACATATTTGTTGATTATATATAATTAAGTAGGTGTTATGTGTGCCAAAGGGTCATCAGCATCTGCTATAACAGTTTGTTTTACTCTTATAGTTGTTTTTTTAAGGAGGTTGTACAAGATAGCTATACTAGTCAATATTATTCTTAACGTATTTAAATACATGTACATTCTTACCAGGTGTTCTGGTATGAAGTGAGATTAGGAAATTGTAGGGAACATTTGTTGTGAACGAGTCTTAATTTTTTTTCTGTTTGGTTGGCATGACATCTGTCAAGCATATTCAATAACAGTCATTGAACAAACAACATAACATTCTTTCGTTGTATTGGAAATGTAAAATTTTAAACCGGAAATAATTTGTCCAAATGCCAAAACTGATAGCACCGGGTCAATACTTCCCCTAGCCAGTAATACGAAGTAATATACCATAGTATATTGTGGTTCCAAAATACTATTAATTATACCATATTAAAAAAAAAAAAGTTGAGTGCGCTTGGATTTGGTTAATACATGTAGGTATTCGAAGTTTTTTGAAGTGGGTTAAAAAGTTTTTCGGCCTGATAGTTTTAGCGTAAAACTTGAGCATGTTGTATTGTTTTTTAATTGTTTTGTCGTTGTCTGAATGCGCTTTTCGACCTCAACACTTTTAATAAAAATATTTTCCATTTTTATATTAAAAAACCATTTATTCCGATCTTCATATTACTTAACATTAATTTATGTAAACGCACTTGTTGTTAGCGATTACGTCCACTTAATTGTTATGTAGTTATGATGATTCTAACTAACGTGTGGTAAAAACAAAAAATAAAAACAATAAAAAACAAGTAAGGGAGGGCTAAGTTAGAGTGTAACCGAACATTTCATACTGTTGCAACTTGCAAAGGGTCAAAGCAGGGCAAATACCTTGAGGTGTTGGCAAAAATTCATATTAAAAAAATTTTGCAAAAGAATTCGACATTCATTATTCGACGAAATCGTGAACGAATAACAATCAAATTTGGTATTTTATTAAGTAATATTATAGGTCATAGATACACTTAGTTTTATTACTATATTTTACTTCGCGTCATCGAAAATTATATTAAAATCATCTTCAAATAAGATGTATTTGACATAAACTCAACTCATAGACTGACCGACACATATATTTAGTTTTGGTCCGATTTGGGTAATTTTTGGTCACAAGCTGGTACACTCCAAAGTCAGTATTCGTGCAAAGTTTTATCCCGATACATTCACTGGTTAATTTGTATACTAGAAAGTGAAAGAATCAGATGAAATTCAAAATAAAATAATATGAGAAGTAGACGTGGTTTTAGTTCGATTTCGATCATTTGCGCACTGCAACATGGAAATGTCAGAATAATGATACTTACCGAATTTCGTTAAAATCGGTCGAGCAGGTCCCAACTTCAAATTTTGACAGCGACTTCTATAAAACCCTCTCTTATGATTTCGGGTGTACAATTTTCTGTTTCTGACGTATTTATTTGTTGACTTATCGCACTTTTAGTAGTTTCTAACAGAACTGTTACATAGGGAGTGGGCGGGGATATCATCTGATTTCATCCATTTTTACACTGTCAATAGAAGATTTGTCCTGAGTGAATTTGGTGATAATATTATAGTTTGAATGGTTTAGGAGATATGTGCATTAAGCCTCTTAAAGGGAGGGGCCATGCCAATTTTTTCAAAAGTTTTAGCCCACCGTTGCTCTTTGACTTCCTGTGCCAAATTACAGTTTTGTATCTTAGTTATGGCACTTTATAGGTTTTCGTTTAATGGCATTTTACGGTTGTGTCAGTTGGTCCATTATGCCCATCTAAAAACTCGTCCTTTCATTTTTGCCAAGGAACTCGTGTACCAAGTTTGATTAAGATATCTCAATTTTTATTTAAGTTATCGCTTGCACAGACAGACGGACGGACAGACAGACCCGAGTGGCTGAAGATTCAACTCGTATCTTCATCCTCATCTTTTATATATACATAACTGTATATCTATCTCCATTAGTTTTAAGTGTTACAAAAAACTTTTAGGTGAATAAAACTATTATACTCTATCGCAACATGTTTCAAAAGTATAAAAACTTACATTTATTTGCTTTAATTACAGCAACTTAGGGCTCGTGTATGTAAATATTTAAATATGTACATAAGAGTCAACCACATGTACAAAACGCGTGATTATCATTTTCAATACCGGCAATTTTCTCTTTCATTTACAGTCGCCGTTGTCATATGTTTCTTCTTGTGTTGGGCCCCCTTCCATGCGCAGCGGCTAATCGCTGTTTATGGCTCGAATGTTTGGGGCGGCGGTAGTGAGAATGTTGATGGTGTTGCCGGCGGTGGGGAGCATGATGACGCTGCTGCAGATGATAAGAATCATCATGTGGTGATATACACCGTTATGACCTATGTGTCGGGAGTGCTTTATTACCTGTCGACATGCATAAATCCATTGCTATATAACCTGATGAGCAACAAGTTTCGGCAGGCATTCAAGGTGTGCAATGCATTTACTATCCTTTGCATTAATTATAGGCATACGATAATTAAAATTGCGTACTTTTGTTGCTAATTGTTATTAATTATTATTTTCAGTCGATTTTGCTTCGCAAGAAAACGAATGGCTCTCTCAATTATCGACGCACTCAGCAATCGCAGAATTTACGTCGTAATCCGACACTCACCTCGAGTACTCAGCGTGAATCGAATGATTCGGATCCGCTTTCGAAACATTCAATGTTGCAGGTTCGTTTACAGATGTGTAGAATTATAGATATAAAAGTAGCCATCTTCGATACGTTAAAAATTAGATAATTATTAGATAGAAACAAAATAACAATTGGCATAACCTTAATGTTTTCATTATTAAATTACAACAGATACATAGATGGAGGTTATATCAATTTAATGAGTATAACCACATACTCTCTTGAAATTTTTTAAGAAGAGCGTAAAGCTCAATCAAAGCGCGTAAATCGAAGATGGTTAGTATTTAAAACCATATTTACATTAATTTGTATTTACTTTGCAGGCGGCGTTAAATAACAGTAAAATATTGCCATAAATTGTTGGGTAATATACATATATAGTTATTCCCACAAACATACATACATATGTGTCTATATGTAACTGTTATCATTATATATTTAAATTGTTAGAAGATACCGTAGAGTACAATGGTTCGAAACTCAACAAAGACGGAGGCTGTTTGAAGGCAGTGAAGTGATTATAAGGTTTGGAACAATTAACTTCATACAAATATGTATATATTATTTTATTAAGGCTTCTCCGATAAACGGTTGTGCATATTAAATATGTTTTCTCGTGTGATCTCTATATATCGAGTACTTCATTTGTCAATTAAGCAAATTGAAACATTTTTTATTCATATGATTTTAGTAGTTGGGAGATGATCCTATATTCGATGCTTATTTGATACGCACTACCCTCTACACTTCATAGATTAGAATTAGAGTCTATAATGTGATTGACCGTCTTTCTCGTTAAATAATTGATTATATTTTAGTCCGTGAACTTAGGCGTATTTGTTAGGAAATTTTGGATTGCCTAACAATGAAACAACCTTAGAAAATATTTTGACGTCGTCTTAATGAGGATATACATAAATGTTAACCATTTCAAGACGGAGAGAATATTATGATGATTTCTTATCGGTTTTTGAAAACTTATAATCGCGTATTGAATATTACACTAAACTTGAGACAATACGAAACAAAAATTTTATAAATTATGTTTAATGTTTGATGTATCTGCGGCTATTGATGAATGACAGTTAACCAGTCCCTAAACAATTATAATCTTCTTTAGATGTTAGAAGTGGATTCTCTAGCCTTATGATTGACAACATACTGTTTATAAAAAGTACTATCTTTACCATAGCCATAACTTGCTTTATATTCCCCAGTACTAAGTATAAACTTCTAATCTTTGTAAAATCATCAGTTGCTACGAGTAACTGTGTGTATTTCACAGCTATAAGTATTATTTCGTATAGTAATGAAAAAATAGAGGTTTCCTGCAATAGTTAAAACTTTTTGCTTTAATAATATCAATTTGTTTAATAAATTGAGCTGTCGAACTTGTGAATTATTCATGTAAAAAACTAACAATTATAGAAATGAAAATCATAAAAAGAACAAATATACCGCTCTTTCTTTATTACTGTACTCTACATTCTACTAGAAAGTTAAGTTAGGTTGTCAGAAAGTTGAGGTAAATAGATTCAAAATAATTCTAAGTTCTATTGGTTTTGTTATAAAATGTTGCATGTTTATTGATTAATTTTTTTAATTATTTCGAGAGCGCAAGTTTTCGATTACATTTTTCAATTATGATTAATCGATAACTCGTTACATATAAGTATTGAATTAAACAAAAATTTTTTGATAATAAAGTATTGAAATTGAATATGATTATGCACATATATAAATTTTGCTATGGAATCATCGATGAAACTAGCTTTCGCTTTAATATATTAAAATCATCGATTATTTTTGTATATATGAATTTATCGATGTTTTTTAGGGAACAATTTCAGCAGAAGTGAACTAATAATTTGCATAAAAAAAAAATTAAAATAGATAACTGATAAATTAAGTTAAGCCAATTTTAACGAAAGGGTAAATATCGATTAAAATGTTAAAAAAATGTATCGAAAAATATCTAAATTTACATCAATAAGAACAATTTAATTTAATAAAAACTATTTTAAGATTTATGTTATATATATTGTTAAATTAATTAAATTTGTCATGACAGAGATTTATGGTATTACATTCGAAATAATTTATACGCATTCGAGCAGTCTGATCTGAATTTAACTATCGGTATTGCCGAGAGTATGTAAAGCACCATATTATTCCTACTGTAGTTATTAAAACAATTTCAATTACTTATAATTACAGGCTATTGACTTTGAACACTCATGAGCAAGCACGTGTGGATAGATCATAAAAAACTGCAATTTACAATAGGTCTACACAAATGAGGTACTTAAAACTGGATACTTATTTAATTGCTGAATTCAGCAAGCAAACAACATCTTAGTAATTTAATTCATTTATAATATACAATACTTATTCACAGCTATTTATATGTATTTGTTAATATATACCTTTGTATATACTATATGTTTATGTAATAATAAGAAAGCTATTGAGAATTTATACCCCTTAGAGTTAACCTGAGTTAAGAGTTAGTTGCGACCAATATTACGTTATTTATTTTATTTTTTTGCAAACTATGCTAAATAAAAATAAAGTGAAAGTTATAACTGAATGTTTTTTTCTATATACATATATAAAATAACTGCGCTATAATAAAAGGTGCTAAAATAATTTTATGAAGTCAACACGAATTGCCTACTCATAAAAAATATGTTATTAAATGTAATATGAATTATAATTATCAGGAAACATAATTGTATATTTTTAGAAAGACGTTGATCGAGTGAACAACTCGTATATGAAATTTAAAAAACATAAATTCACATTAATGTCAAAACTCATTTGTGTCCAACGAATTTCACAGTATCTTTGGTTTTGTTGACGTCACATGAGCTTAGGTTTGACGTAAGAGGTTTAAGGTATGTGAGTTTTTGAATTCAAATACTTTGTATCCAGTATTTGTTTAGAACTTAGTGTAATTTTGTAGTCGCATATGTAATTTACGCTTTAAAGTAATAATCAGTTCAGAGAGTTCTAAATATTGTAAGCGGTCTTCAAAAAGCTGCTGAGTTTTATTGGAGAAATATTTACAATGAAGATAGAGTTACCTACAGTTATACCATATATGGTTACGCAGAGTCATTAATTCGAACAACCATGGGTCCGTTTCGCACCACGTTTACTCGAGTGAATAAGGCGCATCCTCAAAAGTGCCGTGCAGTGCGCACCGAAGACGAAATTGCTCCTGTCAGGCAGAGTATGTTGTTGTTATTGTTGCAGCGTCATAATTCTGCCGAGTTGACAGTCCTTGGTCGGATAAAAAGCCAAGTCCGTTCCGGTTACGTAGAACCAACTGTCATGGGAACGGGGAGTAGAGTATCGAATAAGTCCATCCACCATTACGTGAAACAATTGAAGCTGTGCCCATCCACTTTATGGAAGAGTTGCCATACCCCACGTTCGGTGAATGGGTACAAAACGAGATTGCTACCGATGCCAATTTATACAAGAAAATTTTGCTCAGCGATGAAGCTCACTTTTGGTTGAATGGGTATGTTAATAAACAAATTTGTCGCATTTGAATTGATGATAATCCACAAGCCATTGTTAAAACGGCGTTAAATCCTCAAAAAGTCACTATTTGGTGTGCTCTGTGGGCAGAGGGAATCATTGGTTCATATCTCTTCAAAAATGAAGCTGGCCATAATATTATATTCAATGGCCCTGAATTGGACGATGTTTGGTCCCAACAAGACGGCGTTACAACAAAACATTTAATTTATTGCATGAAACTTTTGGTGAGCGCATTATATCGGGTCGGCGGTCTGTAATGTGGCCTCCAAGATCGTGCGATTTGGCAGCACTCCACGATTTTTTGCAGGGTTATGTGCAGTTGCTTGTCTTTGTAGATAAACCCGAGAAATTGACGCCTTCGGCGCGTTGTTGCTGGTTAATCTGGATAACTTTGTTGACTTCAGCATAGCGATCAGAGAAGTTGCGGCTTCTTGTTCGGATTATAGTTGAGCCTTTTAAATGGCTGGACTTCGACTTTAATGAAATCGGAAAAGCGAAATCTTCTTAATATTTATATTTCTGTATTCCACCTAATTTTTAAAAATTTGTTGTGATAAATATTTGCATATTTAGTGGGGCCTTAAGCCTCCTAAATCAAAAGTTCACTAATTTTTATATTTTTCAATTGGCATTCAAATATTTTATTAAATGATTATATAATAAATATATTGTGTAGACTTATTATGCAAGGTCAACAAGAATAGAAAATAAATAATATTATTTGCGTATTTTCACACAAATAATTTTCTAATAAATTTAATTATATTTTTCACATGTAATGTTTGTACTCTCGCCAAATTTCAAAACTGAATAAATTTATCTAAGGTTATGTACTTTTTTTTATTAACATATATGCATGAAGATACACATATGTAGGTATATTTGTACGAATACACTATAAATAAAATAAATATAACATTAAGCATTAGTGTATTGTTTAGTGAGAAAATCACATTTATTAACATGTAATTCTAGGGTTTCAGTAATTTTAGCTACAGTTTATTACCGAATTTGCATATAACTTAGTAAAATGTAAATATGGAAACATACACACATACACATTTCAGACATTTTATTGATTTACTGGTGATGCGCCGGGTTAATGCAGTTTCGTGATTGTCCTTTGTCAGGACATTTGTGAATCATGCATATATGTATATACGATATATGTATATACTCATATATATGTATATATATATATTCGTGTATTAATGCCATGGAAGGAAAGAAAAAGCAAAAAAAAGGCAACACTTTAAACAGAAAAATGCAATCAGCGAAATTGAAATTTGTTTTGTATTCTATTTGAGCTAAATGAGTTAGTGGTTACGTAAGTAAATGTGCACGCACCTTTGTTTTTGCATTGCGTTTGGCACTTTTGTACGGATATGAGAAGTTTTAAATATTATATATAGAGTTGGAAGGCTAAAGCTTGCTAGATTTTGGTGTAAAGATTTATGTTGCTATTTTGACAAATAATTGCTTTAAAAATATGCTTCAATGAGAAAATGAAAATGGTCTTGATTCAGGAGTACACAGGTACGTACAAGTATTAACATCATCTGGTGACTAAATCCTATGTTCAGAAAAACTAGCAAGCGGATTTTAGAAAAATGAAAAAAACTGAAATATCGATCGGTGATACGGTTCCTGTTTTTGATGTAACGAGTTTGAACTCACGTCGGTTTTTAATGTACCACGGATAGGTGCCCCGAAAACGGATAGCACTGAACATAAAGTTACGAAATCCATGATGACCATTGACGATTAGACTTGCGCGAAATAACTATGGTTTGGGCATATAAAACGACTGCATGAGTCATAAATGCATTAAATATTGGGCTTACCGACGTGACGTGTACCACAACGGCAACCGTAAGACTACTTTAAAGCAATTCTTTACTTTATACTGGGAATTCGTTTCGAAGAAGGCGACGACTGTTCTATTGGACGAAAAAGTGATGACACCGTTTACTGGGATTTACAAAGTGTGATCTACATCGAGTACATGGCGATTAAATTCGAAGCTGACTTGTTCAAAAAAAGACACAATTAAGAACAAATTAGCGCTTAAATACCATGAAAATGCAACGGTTCACGTCACCGCGTCGCCACAGTCAAATTGATCGAATTAGGATCTGATATTTTGACCTATCCACCATATTATTCAGATTATCGAAGCGCTCTCATATATTATTTACAGGGATATTGAATTCAGGCATAGCTGCAAAGACAGCTTTTAGATATTTACTAGCTTTTCCAGGGTATTTTCTCTTTGATTCGGAAAACTTCGCCGGAGTATTTTAATGGCTCAATAGCTGGTCGATTGGTTCCTACAGACACATTATTTTTTTTAGCCGATTTGTTGTTATGCGAACTTTGTGAATCAAACTAATGAATTCGACAAACGAACGACTTTGAAAATATAAATGACTTAAAAGCTGCGCTCATCTAACTGTAATAATTCCAACAGGGCACACGAGCTTATTTTAAATTCATTCATGTAGGTACAAATGTTTATATAAGCATATAAATACGTAATTGAGGTATTGGCTCAAAGGCATAATGCCCACAGGACAACCTTAGGGTAATTGCTTCAGAGTAATTTGCTCATTCTTTTGAATAATTTGTAAACTATTATACACATGCTATATTTAACAAGAAAAAACGTTAACTCCGGTTCCTTACAATAACTTGATTCCAATCTAATTTCGTGAAAATATATATGCTATAGTGATCCAATCTAAAATTTTTTTTCGTATATTACATTGTTGCCTTAGGAAATAACTCATGCCAAATTTCGTGAAGATATTACGTCAAATAAAAACGTTTCCCACACAAGCACTTGATTCCGATTATGCAAATAGCATGACAGCTATATGCTATAGTGGTCCGATATCAGCCCCTCCGACAAATGAGCAGCTTTTTGGTGGGGAAAGGATAGGTGCAAAATTTCAGTTCGATAGCTTAAAAACTGAGGGACTAGTTCGCATATATACCGACGGACGGACTTGGCTAAATCAGCTCAGCTCATCATGCTGATCATTTATGTATATATTTTATAGGGTCTTTGACGTTTCCCTCTGGGTGTTACAAACTTCGTGGCGAACCTCATATACTCTGGTATAAAAATAGATAAGTGTGTGACTTTATACAGAAAAAGTGATAAAATTCGTGGGAATATATTTTGTTGAATATATGATCATGGAAGTGATTGAGCAACATACGATTTTATTTCTAGAGTTTCAAATTGTTATAAACAATAAAAATAGAAACCCACTGAACATCAGGTTTTGAAATCAAAAGAAATTAGAGCTTTGACATGGTTCTCTACCCAAAGAATTTAAGATAGTTCAATTTTTTTTCAAAGCTCTTCTCAGGCCTACAGACGAATAATGCAAAACGTTAAAAATGTTACAGTAATCATCAAACAATTAAGAAGTCATTCCTTTAAAGGGTAAACCAAACTGTCATAGCAGCAACAGTACGGCGTCTAATCAACATCAGCCTTTCGACTTGGCAACGTAGGCCAGTACGTGGATGACGTATAAAATCGCACTTGATTTACGACCGCAACAACAATGCTGGTATTCATTTACAACTTTATATACAACTTCGTCATTTTTTCCATACGTTTGTTCTACAAGCATTGCTTTGAGTGTATGCATGTGTGTAACTCCTATTTGGCGCGCATAAAAGTATGCAACATGTGGGGAAATCAGAAAACGCGGTCGTCATTATTTGCTGTCGTAATTTTATATGTGTACTTCCGGTATTTTATTATGTGTTAGTCACTAGGGTGTATTGAAGATTTCAATAAAATTACATATATTTCTTAATGAAAAGCGAGATTTCTTTAACTTAAATTAATTAAGTTTTTTTGGAAAATTTAAAAACGTTGAAAATGTTACCTTGTTACATTGCAGAACAATTAGACTAGGGAAGAATACCAAAAAAACCATATATTGAGTAATCGAGACATTTTCCACGCAATATAGCAGAAAATAACCAAAAAAACCAGTTCCAATCTAACAAAAACGCCTAGCAGCTCCAAATATACCTACCAAAAGTTTTCATTCGGAGACAAATTGAATAAAAAAAACAATGCAAATAAATAAATCGAAGACCCCTATTTATATTCTTGACTTGTCAAAAAAGTATTTATTTTATTTGATTTATATATTTTCATCAATAACAACAAAACAATTGAGGATATTTTGAATAATTACGAACGTTTAAAAAAAATTCCATGAACCAAAATTTTAATAATGTCTATATACATAGTAGCGTAAATAGTGTCTTCGTAAGATCAAACGTACATATTCATATACGCGCCACATGTGAGCTGTCTTTAAGAATACCCCCCGCAATAGTCTTTACGCGCTTAACAAGTCGCAATGGACGCTCGCAACGGCAGCGAACTCCATCGGTGATAAAGCCCACGCTAAAAGCAAAAACTTCGTGCTCTAATTCGCAGCTTCATTGGTTCGTGGTATGCTCACATACATATGTACATATTTATAACACTAAACATACATATGTATATTCTCAAATAAATTTGCGAAGTGTTCGCTGTTCGTTCGTTCGTCAAGCTCGTTTCGTTCCTTCGTTACGTATACGTATGGTGCGCCTGCATTCGGCATCGCTATCAACGTCACTGCTAGCAGCACTGTTAATTTAGCAGCGCGCTGTTGCGTCGAATTTTCACCTGTTGCTCATGCTGTTGCTCATTCTTGTTATTTTACACTGTTGATGCCTCGTTCGGCATTGCTGTTTTTTTTTTATCACTGCTGCCTACTACTATTAGTTCTGCTGCGCTGCTGCTGTTCTTGTCACTTTACATGTGCGCCTTTTAGCCTTTGATGGCTGCGAATTGGTTTCTACAACATTGCAGATTTTTGTATAAAAGCCAATGTTGCTTCCTATTTGTGCACAACGTTTGCAAAAGTCGATTTCAAAAGTATAACGGTCGCTTTGGTAGCGAGTCGAAGGTGTAAAAAAATTGTGTGTGGAAAAATTCTCGTGTTCTTTATATTTGGTTAACAAAGAAAGTGCTTTTTTTTGTGAGCAAATCCTAAATAAAATGTTTAACTGAAAGTGAATTCCCACAATCAATAGTTCGAAATTGAAAATTGTATTGGAAAAATGTGCCGCTCAACGGTTTTTGTAATTGTCTTGATTTGTTCAGTATTAGCGTCGAATGTTCAAGGTAAATAAAATTTAAGATTTATTTTTCTATCGCAAATGAAAATTTAGTCGATTTATCGATGCAAATATAATACCAACTTATAGTTAAAAACCCGACATTCGGTAGAATGAAAACATTTCGCTTAATTTATTCTGGATTTTTTCAAAACAAAGACCTTTTTAAGAACAACAAAATAACTTAAATTTGGTAAACGCAATATAATTTCTAATGGAGTCAATTTTCTCGTAAGCAAGATGCATCCAAATTCAAATGGTGTTGATTTAAATCTCACTAGGAAGCTTTATAAATCTATTGACTGCCATTAGTCGTCATTACGATCTCCTCTATCAATTTTAAAACCGATGAAATCAGCTTAATTTTAAAGGCACTAAAACTCGAAAAACGAACAAATTACTATATTATTTATACTCAACAAGAAAAAAAGTAATAATTTATTCCAATACGGAAGGGAATGTTGTACAGTGTAATTTCTAAAACAAAAATCATCATAAAGCGATTATTTGAACTCTTAAGAAATATATGTATATTAGAGTAACCCAAAAACTCGATACTGACAACAGTCTTATATGAGTGTTTTGACAAAGCAGGTCCGAAGCTCCAAATTTTTTCAGCTCAACATCAAAAACCAGAGTCCCGAGCGTTATTTTAATGTACGTCTCCATTAGATAGTCCGAGGTACCTTAAAGCTATATCTATCTTATACGAGTGTTTTGACGATGCAGCTAAGAAACTCCGATTTTTTTCACCTGAACAGTTTATCACAAGAAAAAAAGGCCGAGGTAGCTTAAAACTAATTGAGTCGCAAGAGAACTGCTAGGGTTCTATAATAATTTTCGAATTTGCGTCCTCTTAATCATTTAGATTTGGTGTCAAAAATTTTTATTGTTTTTCAATGAAATATCCAAATTTTAACAGTAGATTTAACGTTATAGTGCGGCAAAGAGGAAAACTACTCATTATTTCAGTCTAAAAAAGAATAATTGCATTTTCTTTGACGAGATGAAATATATATATAACTTAGAAATTTATAACTTAAAACAGAACTCAAAAACTTTTCTCAATTTTCTATACTGAATCTATAATGCAGCCATTTATCTGTTACAAATCTAAGGATATGTGTTTAGAATATTAGAAAAATTTAGTTAAGTATGTATGTATGTATGTAAGGTGAACCAAACACTAAAATAGAATATTTTATTCTCTGTATATAGGTCCATTTTAACCGATATATTCATACCCATACTAATAAATAGGTTAGTCTTTGGCTTTTCATAATATATATATGTAGGAATCAGAATTTAGAACAGGCTTACATAGGTGGTCTATTTTCTTATCGGGACTCAACAGAATATATTGCTTGTGGTTTGTTGCTAAAAATTTGCGTTTGTGTATAAATTGCTAATAAAATGTCTCTTATTGAATGTCGAACGAATGCCAGTGATCTCATACATTTTCATTTGTTGTGCTCTAGTTTACAAGTTATAGTCTTCGATAAGAATCTTCTATTGTGTTGTACTGTATTTTTTATATGGCATCCTCAAACTAATTCGGATGAGTTAATCAAGAATGTACCCTTAATAATTGCGCTTCAGCGGCATTTTTGTTATGGAGGTTAACTACAATTAATTAAGGAAACTGAGGCATAGATTAGTGCTGGATTCTAAGTTTATCCAAAAATCATAACCTGTTGCTTCAGAGGAGCGGACTATTGTCTCATAGAAGAGCAATAATTATTGCTTTGAAATGTCCAAAAATTTAATGAAAATGGTTTAAGCGATGAGATAAAGGACGTCCGAAAGTAAATATTTCGATCGTCAATTGTTAGGACATTCAAAATAACTCTATTACCTCAACTTCTGCAAGCAAGTCCAAGAGAATATTTATAATTCAACTTTATTTTAACTTGTATTATTTTTAACTATAACTTATTTTATTGAAAAGCTAACCTTCAGGTGACAAGTTTTTATATTTTAAACTAGAGATGATAAGAGTAGAAAAATTTATAACATGGTAAGAATTGTTGGAAATTCTGTCGTGAATTATGTCCACATATACATATTTACCCTTAAAAACAATTAAAGCTTCGTATCTTATATTTAAAATAATCTTTAAAAAAAAGACATAACTCAAAAATGTTATATTTTGATAAATATAATGGAACAGGTAAAAATTGTAAATCTAGTATCTAGATGTAGGAGTAAAGTTGAATTTTTAAGTTTGCCACGAAGTTTGTAATTGTTGATTTAGCTATGTCCGTCTGTGCGTCAGTCTGTTTGTCTGTATACACCTAACATTGTCCCTAATTTTAGAAATAACGCTATGAATTTTGCACACGTCCTTTTCTATCGAAGGAGCTGCTAGTTTGTCAGAACTACTCATATCGGACCACCATGGCATATAGCTGCCATACAAGCTAATCAATCAAAATCTAATTCTTGTATGTAAAACTTTTTTATTTGACAAATTATATTTACGAAATTTGGCATAGATTATTATCCGAACATATCATTCAAATCGAACCACTGTAGCATTTATGACATATATCATACAAACTGATTGATTAAAACCAAGATAAAGGTTTTTTGTACCCTTTTATACTTTAGGAAATGGACCTGTGAAGGGTATTTTAGCTTCGCTGAAACTGAAGTTAAAGTTTTTCTTGTTTTTATACACGTATGAGTAAGTACAAACATACAAACACATGTGTGTGAAGGGAAAACATTCCATTTATTCAGCCATAAACTTGCAGAACGTTCTTCGACGGCAGACATAATTCATGTAAATAAATATTATTAAATATGATCATGCATAATTATTTAACTAAGGGTAGTTGTATATTCAACACTAATTTACATACATATATATTGTACGTATATCCATACCGCCATAAAACGAATTGTTTTTCAGTTTGCTGGCATTTAATTTACAAGCGGGATAAATTCCATGTATTTAACAACCTGTTATTGGTATGTAGTGACGGTTATTGGCGTAATTCCCAAAACGCTGATAAGATGTACAAGCGTTGTGTAATTGTGCAAGGAAAATGGACACAAAGTATAACAAAAACAACCTGTAAACTGTAAAAATTAGAACGAGTGAGGTTATGGTTGGGATATACATATATAAAATTATATATACAATATTTACTATACTTCAAGATATATGTAAATATGTATATATATAACCTCAAAGTAAAATGGACTCACGTCCGTTGTGTGTTACATTTTTGTTTCAGAACGTTTTTCACTCTATCGACACAAATGTTTTGTCTAGAACTCCTACTGCAGCAACAACAATAATAATCGGCACAATAATTGTGATACATTTCATATACAAAGTGTGTGTTTGTATGTTTTCATGTACGTACACAGTTTTAATTGCTGTCGTAAATTAATCCCTTCTGGAAAACAACCACTACCTTTGTATTAAAATTGATAAAAACGAAGAAGATGAAGAGCTGCATTCGTCAAAAAAAGACATGCTTGTGATATGTATGTATGTGAACCAGTCAAGGTGTCACGTTAAATGGTAACACCAACCACCGTTATACCCCAGCAACGTCAACAACTGTTGGAATTCGCGGCTGGCTGCATACTCACGCCAACGCCGGGACAACATGGGAGAAAATGTGAAACACATAGCGATAAACATGCTATATCTCTCCATAGGTTGCCTGATAGACATGCCGTTATTTCGCCTATTTTCCACGCTTCTTGTTGTTGGAAGAAGATCAAAGCTCAGCGTGCGCATTTTTGGCAATCAAAAAAATAGTTTTACATTCACACACAGCAAACAACAGGTGTTTAGTTGCGATTTGCTGCATTTTTGCTTTTATTTACTTCTTGTGGAATCATCTGCTGTCAATATTAGTTAATCCGTGAAACTATCTATGTATATTCCTAGCGTCGCCTATCTTTGTTATTTTGGTTAATACGCAGTATTAAAGAATTGGCTAATATCCAAAACACATCTGCTTAGATTCGTAATAGATAGTTGACTTCGTTATACTATATATTTCAATACAGCACATTCAGAAATATATTTAAGTTCTACATGTGTAAATAAATTCAGATTCTGTGACTGGATATATCTTTCATTTCATCATGAAACATAGAATTATGAATTTTAAGCTGAAATAATGAGTAGTATTCGTCTTTGATGCACAGTTACGGAAGAATCCATAGTAAAGTGTTAATATATTATATCCAGTTACTTAACTTAACTTGGGATACCATAAAAGTTACCAAGGATGATATTAACAACCACAAAATTTTATAAATTAACTAAGAGTCATTCTCAAACATTTTTAATCAACTGCTGAGAAAATTTTGGTTTCTACACCTAATTAACTTCAAAGTCTATGTAAAGTCCTCTCGGCAAAGGAATTTAATATTAGACATTTTTTTTAGTATTTACTATAAAAATGTCATAAAAATTAAAATCATTTTAATATCCCATGCGGTGCTTTACAATATTTACAACTCTTTCACCCCAATAAAATCTCAAAATCTTAATTACCTTTTAGAGTATCGTCAAACAAGAGTCAACTAATTCTAGTTGGCTAATATAAGTCAATGTGGGATTAATGAGTTTGGTAATGGGGCAATTATATACCTACACACGCGGTTATGATCCTTTAACACATATGCATGTGTGTGAGTATGTATGTGTGAAGCACATAGAGCATATCGGCAACAAGTTGAGCACATCCTTCAAACTGCTTGTTATGTTAAGTCGTGGTATTAACTGTTGATATGTATGTACATATGTACGAGTATAATCGTTAATGACACCGTTAAGTAGGCGTTTAACACACTAGATAAAACTTTTTTTCCATCGCCAGTTGTGGGTCTGCAACCAGTTATATTTTTTTATATAAACGTGGTTTGAAGGAAAGTTAGGGTGGGTTGGTTGCAAAGCATCGGAAGCTATTGAGGTAAGTTAAATATAAGTGTTGTATTACACCTACGTGTTGCAAGAGTTTTACAAATTTTAGACAA